TCAGCCTCCTGAGTGCTAGGATGACAGGTGACAGACGTGTGCCACTGCATCTGGCCAGGAAAAAGAAATTCTGTTTCTTCAGATCATTGATTTTTGGATCCTAGGGATCCCCACCACCACAGTACAGGCGGCCACAGTGGGAGTGGTGGTGGCAGAGACCTGTGCCCCGGGGGCTGTCGGTGGAATCAGTTGCTCCTGTGGCCCCTGCCCACCGCTCCTGCTGTCCAGGTGAGGGAGCATGCAGTCCTCATTCTCCCAGATGGTCCTGGATTGAGGGGAACACCCTCCAAGGCCTGCAAGAATTGCCCTCACACCTCCCACAGCTCTGGCCAGAGGAGAGCCCTGTGGGTCAAGAGAAGGGCAGAAGTTACAGAACTTAACTTTGCCTCAAAAAACCGTGTTTCCTACTGGAGAGTTTCCCACAGTTTTGGGAAATGAGACAGGGAATGTTCTCCATCCATGCTCCAGTGCCTCAGATGGCTGGAGAGCAGGGGGTGTGTTTTGTGGTGGCCTGTCCCCTGGCTAGGCCATTCTATCACCAGCCAACCATGACCCCAGGAGCTAGCTGGGCACGTTTCAGTCACCCTACCTCACAGACTCCCGGCACATTGTGACTAGCTGAGCACTGAGCCGGTTCCCACTGGGAAGGCCGAAGAGCAGGGAGCACAAGAGTTCTGACCTTCCCGCCAGGGCTTTCCCGGACCCTTAGAGCCTCACAGAGACCACCTGGAGGGAGAAGGTTTCAGCGTGACTCAAAAATCACACCAGCCTTTCTCCCCCAGGCAGAATTCTAGACGTCCCCTCCCAGGGCAGAATCTGTCCCTCAGCCCCTCCTCCCAAAGCTGAGGGGAAGGCCTCTCCCACCCATCCCCTCCCCCACTAGACTCCCCTCTCTGGGAGGGGGCTTCTCTTCATGGTTGTGTCAATATTGACTGTGGAGTGACAGGGAAGCATGCTGGTTTCTTGAGGATGAGCCAGGCCCCTGTACCTGAGGTAAATTCCACTTCTGCACTGGGGGAAGGGTTCCAGCAGCAGGGATGAGGCGGAGCCTCCCAGCCCAGCTCCTGCTGAGTGGAGTCTCAATGCCAGGAAGACACCTGGGGGTCAGACCCTGCCTGGAAGCTGGAACTCCAGGGGCATCCCAGGAACCTCCTCCAGGCCCCCAAGCCCCTACTTCCGACCTCCCCTCTGGCTGCTGGTCTGGGCCACTGTTTACTACTGGAGCAGCACGTGCACAAGCCTCAGGACAAGCCCAGGAACAAGCCCAGGAGGCCAGCAGGGCTGAGCTACTGACGCCTGGGGTTTCCTTTAGCTTAGTAATGTGGCCCAGTCTGGCTCTGTGGGAACTTGGTTGCTTGTTCCGGGCTGAGCTAGAAAGACCAAGAAAGTCAGCTTTGGGCCCAGGACACAAGTGTAGGAAAGCTGAGAACTTGAAGGCGAGAGCTCTGTGAGTATTCTAGTCATTCCTGGGAATGCTGGCAGTGAAGGAGAGTTTGCTGTGCCACTAGGTAGTGAGGCTGCGAGAAGGGACAGTCAGCTAGTACCTGGGGAAAGAAGAGCAACTTGGGCCCAGCGATGGGCTAAATTCCTACTTTTCCCGTGGGGCACCGTTACCCAAGCTATTTGTCTCAAGCTTGGGTATCCCACAACAGAGTACTATTTTTTTTTTTTTTTTTTTGAGACAAGGTCTCACTGTGTGGCCCAGGCTGGCCTCAGTTTGCAGCAGTCCTCCTGCCTCAGCCTCCTGAGTGTTGGGGTTACAGGCACACAGAATGCCTTTTTATTATTGTTCATTTCAGCATGCATTGTGTGGCATCCTGTGGGAGCACCCAGGCTGCTGGTGGGTCGCAGGGTAACCAGTGTCACAGGAAGCATAGGTTCAGATTGTGCACCCTGATGTGAGGGCCTAAAGCACAGTTGTAGCTTCAGCATGGACACTGAATGTAAAGCAGTTGGAAAAGGCAGCAGAATGACAACAAAAGGCTGAGAGATAGGCCTATTGTGTTCGCAGGGCTGTTGCCTCTGCCAGTTGGCTGGCGCCATTTCTTTCAGGCAACTGCTAGCTGACCTGCAGGACTGGAGGAGCTGGGCAGAGAGGACCCCAGCACTTCCTGGTACAGGTGCAAGGCTGCTTAAAGCAACCAGGCTGTGCAGGCACACATTCACAACAGCGGACCCCCACCAGCACCCGTGTAGTCAGCTGAGGGGCCCGGGAAGCTGGGCATCCTCACATCTGCCTCACTTACTCTCCCTAGAGAGCCAGGAGCAGGCCTCAGGCCCAGCCCTGTCCTGGGGCCTTGGAGCGGGTAGGACCTGGCATTTTCTCCACTGTTTGGGCCAGGAACTTTCAGTCCAGGAGAGGGGGGCTTGCAGAGGGTTAGCACGACAGCACCGTCCTTAGATAGGCAGCTGACACAGTCTCTTTATGTCTGCCCACTTTTGTGGTTCCCAGGTCACAGCACTGTCCAGGTAGAGGCACGCTGGGCAAACACGAGGGGACCCCCAGCCCCTCAGGATGCAGGGACAGGGCCTGCTGGTTTGGCCCGTGGGCGGGCAATGAGTGGCCACAGTGGGGCACCGCCTTGCCGGAAGCATCTAATTAGGGGACAGGGAGCAGCACCAGCAGGGCCCAACCAGTTCTGCTTCCTGCCTCTCGCCACTCAGTGGCACTCGGGATGGGTAGTTGGCAAGCCGGTGTGCACTCCCTGTGTGTGCAGCCCTGCAAGGGACACATGGGGGTGGCACGGAGACAGGTTTGGCAGGGTGGGTATGATGAGGCACAGATCCCCACCCTGGCAGCCTCACCTGCCTCTTGCTCAGGGTAGAGGTGGCAGAGAGCGACCCAGCAGCCTCCACCCTGGCCACAGGTGTGTGGATGTGCAGAGACAGGCAAAGGACATGAGCTTGGGTCCCTAGAACCCCAACCCGGAGCCAAGTGGAGCCAGGGAGCCAAGTGTAACACTTCCTAGCTTAAACCAGCCCACCTCACCTGCTGTCCCTCCTCCTCTGCTGCTCCCAGGGCAGGTGGTGTGGCCTAGCTCTGGCTTTCAACTTGGGGGAGCCTCAAGCCATCCTTAGCTGAGACCGAAGAGGGTAAAGGTCCCCGTTTGTCTCCACCTGGGGTAAGAAATAGAAATGGTCATTCAGCATTGTTCTCAGTCAAGGTCTTCAGTGACTGCAGGTGGCAACCTTCTGTCACTGCTCCCTCAGGCCTGGTCCTGTGTGTGCCAGCAGCTCCCACTAAGGGCAGACCGACCTTTGACGGCGGACCCTCGAGCTCAGTCTGACACCAGCCTGCGTGGCCCAGAGAGAGGTGGGAGCCAGTCAGGGGCCAGGCCAGGCTGGTGAATCAGCTCCTGGAATGAGGTGGCTCATTAAAGTCCCCCGGACAGACGGACGCCAGTTGCCCGCAGAACGGGTTCTGGGCGAGGGCAGGCGCATTCTTCCGTCAAACCTTTGTTGTGTTTTGAGGGGGCGAGAGCTGGGGCCTCTCCCGAAACTCCAGCACTCTCATACTCAGCTGTCCTCCTCACGACGTTCCTCTACCTTCTCTTACGGCGCTGTGCATCGAGAGAGAGAGCAGCAGCCCTGCCTTGGGTCCTTGACCCTCTTTCTCTCCAGCTTCAATCAGGGGATGTGGAGAGCCCTGCTCATGGGTCTGAAACCTCAAATCCATCTCCTAAGTCCCTCTCTGACTCTTACTCCTTTTCTACCCTAAGCCCCATCAGTTGATTGATTGATCGATTGATTGTACTGTGGTTTGAATCCAAGGCCTTCACGCTAAACTACATCCCCAATCCTTTTTGTTCTTTTTTTTTTTTTTTAATTTTAGTTTTTTGTCTTTTTGAGACAGGGTTCCACTATGCAGTTCAGGCTGGCCTTGAACTCACTTTGTAGCCCAGTGAACTCGCAGGGATTCTCCTGCCTCAGCCTCCCAAGTCCTAGGACTGCAGGCATGGGCTACCATGTCTGCTGTTCCAGGGCCCTCTTTGATTTGTCCTTCCAAAGCTTAGGAAATGCTCCGAGTTTATAGATTTGAAGTATTGTGCTTAGGCTATATTAACTGAAATTTTAACTGAAAAACTAGACCGTTTTTTCCCCAGCTCTGTTGGCTTTGAGACTTGTCCTTCTGAGTCAGGTTTGGCTCACCCTCGTCAGGACTATGGCCCAGGGTCTGCAGCCAAGCCTCCCTGGCCCGTTTAGTGTGAGGTACCTGCCTTAGGGAGCAGCTGTGTCAAAGGGTTGCCAGGTATCGGTGCCGCCACTGCCAGAGGGAGCCCAACCCGGCTGCCACAGCAAGCAAGCGGTCCGCTGTGGGGGAGGGTTGCGTAAGTGCTGGGCAGGCCGCCCAGAGACTGTTACGAGCATCCACCTGCTACTCCCTGACTTCCTCTCCACCCACCTGGCCTGTTTGCCTGCGGTGCAGGGCCCAGCCCAAGTCAGGAGCTTGAAGACCAGTGGGCTGCAAGAGCAGGGACCAGCTAGGTTAGGGAAGGAAGGGGCTAGGACCACCGAACCCCCACGGCCAGCAGCTCTTTAGCTGCTTGTGGGGGAGACCTAGAGGGATCCAGGTTGCCGGAGACCCTTCTGGGGCCAGCCTGAGCCTCAAAGAGCTGTCCCTGGTCGGGCCTCAAGTGGTGCCCTTTGTCCCTACAGGAGTGAGGACAGGCCTGGAATCCAGAGGGACTGGCCCAGGTGGGGCAGGCAGACAGCTCTGCAGGCATAATTGGCAGGGCAGTTTGGTCCTCCCAGTTCCGCTAAGACACAAATTACTCAGCGGGCAGTGTCGCTTGGCTGGCGTCACCTGTAATTACCTTACTGGGGCGAGGAGGGAGGTACAGAGAATGGTGGGTTGGGGGCAGCGCCATTCTGCTGCATGCCCACAAGGGGAGGGACAGAGGCTCGCGGTTCCAGCCATGGCCTTGCTGGGGAACCTTCCTGAAACCTGACAGGACCCCTTTTCTCCACATGCCCTCACTTGGCTCCTCTTCTCTCCCCAGTCAGCCTGGGCTTCTGCCCACCACAGCCCTACCGAGAGCCAGAACCCTCTGTGGCCGAACCTCCTTCCTGCTCCCTGGCTCTGGACATGAGCCTTCGGGACTCTAGCTATGGCGTGGCCCCAGGACCCTGTGTGGTGGCCCAGCTGCCCTCTGAAGACATGAGCCGCCTGACGGATGCCCAAAGCAGAGACCAAGGCTTCCTGCGCACCAAGATGAAGGTAGTGACTCTCAGACCACCTCGAGGACCAGGGCCACGTGTCCAGCCCCACAAAACATGGGGCAAATGAGACACAGGCATAGCCTAACCTGGGCTCTAGGCTGCAACTTCTATAGAGACTTAGCTGGAGCACCGAGGGGGAAGAGAAGTAAGGAGGGCTAAAGTGGGAACTTCTAGCTCTTTCAAGGCAGTGTCCCTGCGATATCCAGAATAGCAAGACCACCTTTTTACACAGAGGTCCCAGGCGGACCAGTGAGGTGGGAGCCTGGCATGGGTCCCTCTCCTGAGCTCCCATCTGGGCTGTATCCTGTGTGAAGTCTGGAGTTGGTCCCACGGTTAGCTGTCCCTAAAGCAGGTGGCAGTGACAACCTTGCCCAGGACTGTCTCCAGCCCAACAGCATCCAAAGCCATGCCCTAGAGCCAGGCCTGAGTGAGCAGCCCCACTGTGCACAAAGCAGCACAGCCGTCCCCGCTTCCAAGGACAACACCAGCAGGATGCTGGCCCTGTCTTCTCTGTACTCCTGTGAGCTCCAGGACTAGGAGGCTTCTACCAGCAGCAACCTGTCAGAAGGGGGCCCCTCTAGTGTGCCCGACGTGCAGACAGCGGGCGGGGGAGCCCCCTTCCCCTACTTCCTTCAGAGCCAAGTGTGTGAGCACCTGCAGGGCAGGGACCCAATGTGCTTAGCTATTTGTTCCAGCCAGCTGGGTCCCTCCCGACAGTCACAGTGCCCCTCACCCCGCTAAGGCCCTTGCCCCACCCCTTGGACCCCTGCGGGTAGGGAGAACAGAAGAAAGGGGACAGAATGGCAGAGGAGCCACTGGAGTGGAGTGAGTCCTGGCCCAGGGGTCTTGACCAGCTGGCAACAGGGGTCCCAGAAGCAGAGCCGGATGAGGGGTGCTTGACCGGAGGCGTAGCTAATGACAGGACCACCCACAGAGAACAAGCAACCTCCAGATGCTGACAGGTGGGGTGGAGAGTCACGCTGGCCACCGGGCCATGCCCGTGCTACTCACACCTGGAGAGCTCCTGCTGCCACTTCGAGCAGCACTTTCAGAGGTGTCTGTTGGCGCCCAGGACTTACCTCGCATGACCCCAGAGAGGCAGAAAGGGGATGGTAGAGATGGGGCCAGACTGGCCCTGAGTGACAGGCACAGGCTCATGATACCAGTCTCTCTACTTTTGTTTAAATTTGAAATTTTCCATCATGGAAAAAAAAAAAAATTACGGACAAGAGGATGGCAAAAGGGCGTGAACTGTGTCACGTCGGGCCTGGCTCGAATTTAACTAGAGAGCTCGGCTGGCCTGGGCAGGGGCTTCAGGCTCACGGGAGTGCTGCGGCCTGGGACGCATATTCCTGTGCCAAGGCAGAGTGAGGACGAAGGGGCAGGAACTACAGGGAGGCCACGTGGCTCAGGGTAAAGTCGCCTGCTGTTGCAGCAGCCTCTTCTGTGGTTAAGCTGCCCCTCTTGGCCTGGTGAAGGAGGTCCTGCAGCCTCAAAAGGGAGCTCAAGAACCAAACAAGAAGCAGCACCAGTGACCCAGAGGTTCCTTCAGCCCCGACACTGCCCATCTCTGAGTGAACGACACAGGGCTGTGGCCTCTGGAAGTGGCACTTGGGGGTGCTAGAGCCTAGCGTTTATGTTTCCCAGCCTGCAGTCCCAACTTCTAGTCTCACAGATGTATCCTTTGCCCACAGGTGACCGCAGGGGATAGTCCCAGTGGAGACCTCTTCATCTGCCACATCTGTCAGAAGACCTTCACCTACCAGCGCATGCTGAACCGCCACATGAAGTGTCACAACGACGTCAAGAGGCACCTCTGCACATACTGCGGGAAGGGCTTCAATGACACTTTTGACCTCAAAAGACACGTCCGGACCCACACAGGTAAGCAGGAGCCAGTGGCCGGGGGGAGCACCTGGGCTCTGTCTGACTGAGGCCCTGTGGGGAGACTCCAGGAGCCTCCCAGGCTATGGCAGACAGGAGGCGCATCTTGGAGGTCAGGGTGGAACCCCCGAGTTTATTGTGGGGACTTTTGGGTTGCAAGTCACTTGGGAAAGTGGTGCTGGATAGGCGTCACTCATCCCTCTGCCCCAGTCACCTGTCCTGACCTTTCTGGGTCTGGATGCTGGTGACAGGCGCTGAGGTCCCTGTCAGGTCTCTCATGCCAGCTTCTGTCCTCCACAGGCGTGCGGCCCTACAAGTGTAGTCTGTGCGACAAGGCCTTTACCCAGCGCTGCTCCCTGGAGTCTCACCTCAAGAAGATCCATGGTGTGCAGCAGAAATATGCGTACAAGGAGCGCCGGGCCAAGCTGTACGTGTGCGAGGAGTGCGGCTGCACGTCCGAGAGCCAGGAAGGCCATGTCCTGCACCTGAAGGAGCACCACCCCGACAGCCCACTGCTGCGCAAGACCTCCAAGAAGGTGGCCGTGGCCCTGCAGAACACTGTCACTTCCCTGCTCCAGGGCAGCCCCCACCTCTGAGTGGCACAGCCCAGGGGTGCTTTTGGAGGCCCTGAGAGGGTCAGGTCCATCACACTGCTGCCCAACCAGGCCGCCCTCCTCCAGACTTTTGCCAGAACACCTCTGATCAGGACTGGAGCCCCCTGCGCCTTAGTCTCCCCCTCCCCCATGGGCCCATGCACTCCTGAGGGCCTGGCTCTGCCCTCTGCTCATTTCTGTACATTTATCTTAGGGACAGAGGCTGCTCTGGACACAGGAAGATGTGCATGGGTCTGGACAGGGGCAGGGCCAAGTTTTTTGAAGCAGCCACCTGCATAAACAAGTTCCTCTGGCAGCAGCACTTCTTCTGGGGGATGCAGCAAGAGAGGGTCCCATTGCCCTGGTCCCTGAGCATGGGGTAGCGGTTTTGGGTCCCCAGGGACAACAGAGTCAAGAGCACTGACAAAGAGCACCCCTGCAAACAACCACAGTGGGGGAGCTGGCGGCGGCCCCCACCTGCAGGGCTGGGGAAGTGGACTCTGCCCTCCCGACAGAGGCACGCGTGGGCACAGCTGTGTACGTGTAGGTGCACACGCATGGCTGTGTAGCACTGCTGTGTGTGCTGGCAATGTGTGCAGCAGGTGTGTGCGTGGGTGCACACAGGAGGCCTTTCCACATATCACCTCATTTTTGAGAAATCAACCATAAGGTGCCAAGAAGATTTCCTTTCCTTTTTTTTTTAAGATGACAAATGTACAGATATTAATATATATTTTGGTGCCCATGGCTACTGTTTTTAAGAGAGGGGTGGAGCTGGCTTTTCTCCACTCCCTGTGGTTCTATTTATCCTGGACATTTCAAACCTTTTCTGTGCCTTGGTCTGGGGCTAACTGCCTGACCCACCTCCGTTCTTAGAGCTATTTAACGAAACAAAGACCTTCCATGAGGCCCACCCTGAGGGTGGCTTGCTCCTTCTGTCCCTCCCCTTCTGCTGGACAGCGCCTCACTACTGCTGCCCCTCCCTCTCCCTCCTTGGCAAGCCCAGCTTTCCTGGAGAGCCCGGGTGCTCCTGGGAGGCTGCAGAGGTCTGACAGTGCGATGCCGGGTCTCTGACATCAAGTCTACTGCCTGGAGTACTACGGCAAGCACAGAGCCAGGCCGAACGCCAGCCCTTTGCCTGGGTTAGTCAAAAATGTAACATGGCAGCAAACTACTGGGATAGAATCATAACACATCAGAAACTTCCAGAGGGAGGAGAGTATTAGATGGTGAACACATTTTCTTTGTAGCCTTTTTTCTGTTTTCCCAGTGGCCAGGCTGAGGGTTTGAGTGCCTGTGCAGAAGGGCGTCGCCGGGCCAATTGGATTCTCTGAGGGAGTGGGCAGGTTCCCTTGTGTGGCTGGGCTTCCTGTGAGAACAGTAAAGGGTTTGAGTGCGAAGGCAGGTTTGTGTCTTGTGGGTCAGAGGAGATACAGTCATCCTGCCGGAAAACACGACTCAAGACAGTCATGGAACACGGCAGACCGGGCAGTCCCTGGAAACCAAACTCCTGCCCAGACGGCCCGGATCTGCACAGACCTGGCCCAGGCCCCAGGTCTGGGATGACCAGAGAGGAAGGAAACTTCTTGCACTGTCTCCAAACTGTGTGTAGAATAACTATGAGGACTTGTTTCATTAGTGTGTCTGGGGAGCTGCTATATTCCGGAAGTGCTAGAGTATAAAATGCTGTTATCCTGAAGCTCTGTTTATGTTTACATCCATGTATCCCTGGCTTCACTGCCGATCTGAGGCAGTTGTGAGGCTATGTGTTGTCTCTTATTTTATAGCCTTCCCTCTAACTAGTAAAATTAGAGAACTAACATTTTCTGTTTCTAATTTTTCTTTTTTATCAGATGGGTTTTTTACCCCTTGCAAGGAAATTCATCCAAAAACTGTGCTCTCTCCAAACCTTGCCCCTTGGGGTTACCAGTGAACTCGAGAGATGAGAGCCCGGCCCAGCTAGATGAAATGACTTGCTGGAGTCTCAGGCAGTCATTGTCTGGGACCCGCCCCGCTTATCCTGTCCGGCCCGCTGTGCTCAAAGGGCCGCCCCTTGGGCTCTCTTCGTTTGCCCAATACTAAGGCCAACTGAGGGCCTGCACGAACCTGGAGCCTTTGACGCTCAGTGGTTCAGGGTGCCGGTCTCTGCCTCTTTTCCCAGCACTTTGCCAGGGTTGGACCAAAGGTCACAGCCAGCCAGCCCCCCACAATAAATAAGCTAAAACTAGAAAAAAAAAAAAAAGACATTCCAACAATGTCACGAAGTTTACATTACTTCTGGTCTTCTGCTAGGGATGGCCATGTTCCACGCCTGGCGCTCGCAGTGCTTTCCCCGACGAGCCCTCTCCATCCCGCAGCCACCCCTGAGCTGGGTGCTGTCACTGCCCCCAAACCCTGCAGAGAACAGTTGGAGAGCTGACCCACGATCTCACACCCGGCTAGTAGCGGAATGGGGACAGCAACCAGCCAGCCAGCTCAGCGTCAGCCCGGAAGTGGGGAGAACCGGGAAAGAACTTGGTGAACCCTCTAGGTGTCCAAACAAGGGGACTGTGGTCTTGCCTGTCATTTACCCACGATCACTCTGGTCCCCTGTGAAAGGCCAGCCAAACTCCACTTCACGCATCCTTGGGATGGGAGCCATTGCTGGTGCCCCTGATGGTTAACTGCTATGTCAATCTCAGGAGAAGGCACAGCACAGGAAGCCAGGGCCAGTGAAGGTAGCAGATTCTCAGAGCTCCCTTGAGCTTCTGCTTTCCTCACTCAGTTGAGTTCAGGACAGGTCTTCAAGCCTCTTAGAAGAGCCCTTCCCCAGCAGGGCTGGCCCGCAATGTTCTCCAGACTCTGCAGGTGGTGGGTGCCAAGGGGGAGACAGAAGTGTAGGGTGGAGAGAAGAGATTAGTGCAGGTCAATATGTAACTAAGGACAAATGGTGTGGCTAGGCCACAAGCAAAAGGGGACCCCAAAAGGAATCTGAAAGAACAAAGGCTTCTTGGAAGAGGAGGGGCTCAGCCTGGGGGAAAGAGGGTAACTGGGCAGGGTAGGATGGCAGAGCTGGAGGGCAGGAGTGTGGCACAAAGCAGACAGACCCTCCACCAACCCTTAGCCTGTGTCCAGGTTCGGTCAACATCACCACAGGCACTGTGGGAGCCCCGCAGTGGGGGCGGGGAGGCAATAAGGACCGAGAACAAAACGAGCTCAGAGACAGCAGAAGGCTGGGGCCTTATCACAAAAGGCAGAGCCCTATTCTTCTAAAACAAAGCAGCAAGAGCAAGGGGAAGCTGTACAACTGGAAAGGCTGCTCCAATTTATACTCTAGATTTGTGTATCTTTCCTCATTTTTTTTTTACAGTGAACATATATTATTTTTTCATAATTGGGACAAAATAAAGTTAAAAAGCAATTTAGTGGTTTTAGTTGACTTGAAGTTCAACACAACAGGGAGATGAGGCTGCTCCCCCTTCAATAAAAAGCAAATGGGATCTTAGATGGTATGACGCAAGTGTGGCATCTAAAAACAAAAAACAAAAAACAAGTGTGGCATCTGCCTCCCTGCCTCTCAGGGTCAACAGGTGACAGGAAAAGAGCTGTGGCTTCCAATCAGGAGGCCGGGTTCAGGTCTGGTGCTCTCCCACTATCAGTGTGACCTCGGCCAAGTGACAACCTCTCCGTATCCGCATCTAAAAAAAGGAGTTGGGAAAATAAATAAATAAATAGGGTGGGCCCTAAGTTCCAAAGTCCCTTTCTGTTATAGAGTCTCTAGGGTCCCATTTGGACAAAAACCTGGAAGAAGCCCACACGGACATGAGGTCACCAGAGGCGGGGAGGTGCCCCGTGAGGGGAAGGCCACCAACAAGGGCGCCAGCCCTGCAAGGAGGGAGAAGTTTCCCCAGCTGGTCCCTGTCACAGAACCTAGGCAAGCAAGGAGGGAGAGAGTGTGCTGACCTCATCTTGGGGAGCAGGAGACCCTCCCAGTCCCTGGCATGAGTGACCACAGGAAGTGGAAGGCAGTGCCCTGGCTGTACCCCTGGAAGCCATGCCTGGGGAGCCCCATGAGGAAGCATGAAGGGTCTCAACCGTGGGACTGCAGGCTGGACAAAATAGTCTCCAAGGCGCTTCTACCCGCGAAACCCGGTAGGGTAGAGCCAAAGTGCTGTGGCCATGACTTGTAGGTCTAAGGCCTCCCCAGCGGTGAAAAGGCCGCCAAACAGAGTAGGTTGGAAAGAGCACAGAACGCGAACGTGTGAGAGCAGTGGGAAGGCTGTGCCTGACTCCGTCTAGGGTGAGGAAGATCTGCTTGTTGTACCAAGGGGCTCCGCTTGTCCTTCCTGTGGTTCTACACTCGTGCCCCAAACCACACTGCTTCCCCTGTGCCCCTGCCTACCCGTTTCCACGTTCAGAGAATCTGTGGTGAGCTTGACCTCCTGCCCCAGGCGGCTCTGCCGGCTCCCCCGACTCATCAGGGGCTCCTGCCTAGGCCTCGTCGCGGCCTCCTTACGTGCATAGCCCCCCACTGGGCCGGGCCTGTGGGAGGCCGACTGGGGCCTGCACCAGTGGGGAGGCTGACTCTGAGGTGGGGAGCCTGGTCAAGCAAGGGAGGTATGGTGCGAATTGGGTCTTGCAGGCTGTTTCCCGAGCCTAAGAGCCGGAGGCAAGGGGCTGACTTCCAGTGCTCCTTGGTGTGCACGGTCAGTCGTGCAACACGCCCTCACACACCCAAGCCTTGGATAGTACTAAATTCCATATGCACTATGGCGAAGCTGAGTTTATAAATGAGGCGCATTAAGAAATTAACAAAAGTAACAATAAAATAGAGCAATTATAAACGGTCTCCCTCCTGCTCTCTTAAAAATGTGCAATTTTCTATTTAACAATTTCCCACCATGGCTGACCTCAGGTAACTGAAACCATGGAAAGTGAAAACGTGGCCAAGTGAGCTGATACAAAGTTGGTGACTATGGGGGTCCTATGCCATTCAATTATTCAGTTTTTAATTTATATATTTGTGGTTCTGGAGATTAAGCCCAGGATCTTCACACTAAGATATACTTCCTGGGCTTTTTAAATTTTTTTTTTTTTTTTTTTGAGACAGGGTCTCATGAAGTTGCCAGGCTTTTCAGGCTGGGTTCAAACTTGCAGTCCTCCTGCCTCAGCTTCCCAGAGTACTGGGATTATAGCCATTGGCCACCATGCTTGGCTGTAACTCAAGAATCTTTTATTTTTTGTGTGGGGGGAAACAGCGTGTCTATGCAGTTCAGGCTGGCCTTGAACTCACTATATAGCCCAGGCTGGCCTCAAACTGGTGGTGAGCCTCCTCCTTAGCCTCTTGAGTGTGTGGGATTACAGGTGTGCACCACCACACCCAGCTCAGGAATCTTAAAATGTACTCAGAGATGTGAGAGGTGGGAAGCCGGGTCACCGTGCAACTTGCCTAAATCTCAAAGACAGCAGGCTTACCTATGTTCAGACTTTGCTCCCCATAGCAGACCTGAGGGGCAGCTGACGGACCCCTCTCATCGTCACTGTCCCCACCACCACCACTGCCCTTGGCAGAGGGCAGCTGAGAGTGCAGCATGTCCAGGCTGCTGGGCCACACTGCTCACTAGGGTTATAGTAGCGCAGCCCACTCCACAAGCCAGAGGAACCCGGACACGCAGAGTGTTGGGTCAAACCGAGAGGCTCCTGGGGCGCTGTGAGGCCACGTCACTTACTATGACCTCAATAGTTCTTGGAGCACTATTTTGCTTTAGCATATGTATAAACAGTCCTGTAACCATGGCTAATCACCACTTGCGTTTATTGAGTTCCTACTATGCATTGAACAGCACTGAGCTACGCTTCTCTCTGACATTATCTCTAATCCCCACAACAACCCAAGGAGGTAGCTATTATTGTAGATATTTTTAGACAAAGAAATTGAACCTCAGGAAGCTGAACCACTTGCTCAAGGTCACATGGCCAAGCCAGGTATGGTGGCACATGCCTGTAACCCTAGCTCTTGGGAGGCCGAGGCAAGAGGATTGCTGTGAGTTCAAGGCCAGCCTGGGCTGCAGACTGAGACCCTGTCTCCAAAAAGAAAAAAAAGTCACACAGCCAGTGAATTATCTGAGGTCTACCGGACACCACAATTTGGGCTCTGAAGCCCTTGATTGTGAAGTGGAAGACCCTCTCTGTTCCATTCTGCATTTGTCCTCCAGGCACAGAACACCTGCTCTCTGCCAGAGTTTGAGGATGGAAATCTTAGACTATCTCTTTGGGTGAAGGGAGCAAATATGGCCCATCCCACATCTTGGAAGGGATGGGTGTGTGGCAGTGAGATCAGAGAGAGCAAGCAGGGCTCATGCCAAGCTCAGGGACTGGCATGGAATCTAGCCTCAAGTAGAACTCTTTCACACTCCCAAACATCATCCCATGTCAACAGAAATGGGAAGGAGGAAACAGCTCGGGTGAACACCCACCTACTATCCATGCAGTGTATTTGCCTGGAATCCCATTGGACCTTCCAACAATCCTGAGTCACTGGTACTGTTCCTGTCATTTTATAGACAGGGACATTCAAACCTAAAGAGGCTCACATGCTTCCTGGGAGAGTGGGACATGGGTGCTCTCTCGAGCGTCACACCATCTTCATGGAAGTGTGGAAATTCGAGTGTGACACACCCAAGCCCAACTACAGGGAAAAACCAAGGACCTCTCAGGGAGAGTAAGAGAGCTGAGGCTGGCCCTTGCCAGGGGACACAGGTGTGTTTGTTCCTCTAGGTCACAGCCATAGCTGTCTGGTCAGTGTTCCAAACCCAGAGAAGGGGCAGGCAGGGAGAGCACAGG